TGAAAAACGTTTCCAACGTTTAATTGTTAGTAATGCATCTGAATATCGTGTTGATAGTCGTCAATTATCAACCATTTGAATACATTGAAGAACTTGAAAATATCGGTTTTTATTCGAAAAATAAAAATTTTCTTATTTTTTCAAGAACAAAAATGGAATCGATTGCCATGAAAACACCTAAAGAATTTATAGCTATGTTTAAAAAATTAAGTCGTAGTGAAGAATGACGTGAACAATATGAACAAACCCAAAGAAGAAAAGAACAAAGCTCAACAAGAAGATACACATAGATATTTTCAAAAGAAAAATGATGTTGAAAAGTAAAAGAAGAAAGTTCATCTAGAAAAAGAATTTGCACAAAAATATGTCGCATTAAAAACGCAATACATAAGTAAATGAAATATTTCGAGAAAACAAAAAAACTAACGCCTAATATAAATTTCTATTAGGATAAACTTCAATTAGAATTAAAGTTATTTCAATTATATCATAATAAACAAGAATTAACTTAAAACTGTGAAATAACTGAGAAGAAAAAAGAAGAAGTTGTAAAATTAGAAAAAACGAAAAGAAATATCCGATAAAGAAACTAAAGTTAAAAAGAAGAAATTAGCAATTTATAATAAAGAACTTGCAAATGATGAACAAAAAGTTAAAGAATTGATAAATCTGTTCGTTTTTTTTTTGTTTTTGTTCGATTAATTTTTATTTTAAAAAGAAATTCATTATTTTCTAGAAAGCAAAAATAAATAAAAAAACCGTCCAACTTATATTAAAACCAATGAAAATTTAACACATCATTAGAAAAAAATTGACCTTGCAAAGTAAGACAATTTTGTTTTTTGAATTGAATTGTACAGTTTAACTTGAATAGTATAAATATTTGTAATGATTTCTACATTCTATTGGCAAACATAAAAATTAGTCAGATGTACTTGTAATCAAAAAATTCAGATTACAAATATTTTCAATTTTTTTTTTAATTTTCTTGATTAGTATTTAACAATTACAATTACTTCCGAAACTCAATAGATATCCATTATTTATTTAAATTCTATGAATGTTTTTAATAATTATAAATGTGCTACTATTATTTTCATGATTTATTAAAATATAGATTTTTTACTTTATCTTGATTTAGTGAAAATTTTGTTATCTAATTATTTTTGCTGTTTATTTTTGATGCAATAATTACGTTGAATTTTTCATTATGATTATGAGAGAAATTGATAAAAATCTTGGTAAATTTTCGTCATAGTTGAAAAAGTAATTGCACAATTAAAACAAATAGGTTTTTGTTTTAGGAAAACTCTTCTTGCTGTTGAAAAGGCTCACATAGCTCATGGTGAAGTAATAGAAAAATATGAAAAAAATTTACTTGAAATTGAACGATTAAGACGAGAATATGAAGATAAATTACAAAATGAATCAACTTAGTGGTTTTAATTTAGCATTAGAAGAAAATCAAGTAAGAATTTGTATTTGATTTTTGTATTTAAAACTAAATGTAAATTATTTTTTTTAAATGTAGATGAAAGAATATCGATGATTAAAAGAAGAAGCAGCTAAAAAAAAAGGAAACAATTTTCCGAAGAGTACGATTCAATTAATCGTCAACAACAAGTTGATAGAACAAACCTTGAACAAGAACAAACAAGTCAAAAAGATTATATTACTTGAATAAAATAAACTGAATTATGTATTGAAGAATTAAATGAAAAAATTAATAAATTGAGTGGTTATATTGCGTAAATATATTGTTTTAATTAATGTTATAAATTAAACTAAATATCGTATATGATTTATAGTGATCTTGAACGAGAATTTAATGAAAAACAAGCCAATGTTCAATTACTAGAAAAAGAAATTGTCGAAAATCGAAAACGCTGTGCTGAATTAGAAAAAGAAATTGATCAAGTTAATAAAGAAATTGGTGAAGTTCAAGTAAATTTATTCTATAGAGTTAGTAAAAGGTTTCTATGTATTTTTTTGTTTTTAATATTAGTCCCACAAAAATGAAACAAGTCGTGCACAATGACGTGCTGAACTTATCGAAAATTTTAAACAATTTCCAAACGTGGTACATATTTTAATATAAGTGTTCATTATATTGAATTCAATAAATAATTTAGTCTTACATAGATTGATATGATTGGTCCATGACATTTTTTTTTGAGTTTAATTATGTTAAGTTAAAGAGATACTTTTTAACAATTTTGAATTCATGCGCAATTTATTATTTCAAAAAAAAATAAAGGCTGATTCTGTTGTCTTTCAAACTCATACATTCTTAAGTG